GTGAATGAGGTTGGCTGCGTAGTCCTTTTCGCCAAAAGAAAGGTGGGCAGCCCCCGAGAAAGGTTATAAAGTGGATCAAGGCGGATGCATTGGCTCGTCCAATTGCCGTCGTGGAGCCTGCTGTGAATGAAGACGGAAAGAAGAGATCTTCTTTGCCTACTCAAAAGATGCTGGTTGAGAAAAAACCAAAGGTTTCCTCCACTGCTTGTGAGGGTCCGCTACTGCCGAGAGGGTTGTGATTGACTTGACTTCTTTCAAGGGGAAGAAATATGTAGCTGCTAGATCTTAGCCAGTGATGCCTGCCATGATGAAGATAGCTAGTACGATTACCGATAGGATTGCTCAACGAAGAGGTTCAATCGTGCCCCCAGTGCCGAAGTATGTGTCAAAGCGTCCGTTGGGAGCTAAGTCCGATTCACCTTTGAAGAGGCTTACTACTATGAAGAGCGATAAGGTGAACTCTACTGCTAAAGTGGTGCATACACTTTCTTCACTTATGGGTAAGGGATTTTGGGACGCATACACAACTCTTAAAATTGGACTACAAGCGAAGAAGAAAGTCCAGTATTTGAATTCCAATGTAAGTAATAATGAATAAAAGAGCGTAGTAAGGACATTTTCCTACCAAAGGAAATTTCCTACTTCTTTTTTATGTAAAATTTTGTTTATGAGTGTTTAGTAGCTTGAATTTTTCTTCATAAGCTTGGTTCATCTCTGAAAGTCACTACGTTACCCACAAGATTATTATAGATTTATACCCCTCTGAATCATTAAGACAGCCGTGAGTCCGTTTATGGCAACCGTTAGGCCGTGTTTAGGACTGTATTGTCAGAAAGGAACATGGGAAATTATCTCGCGTAATCTTGGCGATAGTGTCAAAAGCATATATTATTAAGAAAAGAAGCAAGTTTGTCTTGAATAATGAATGTACTAAACTTTCTTAAACATTAGTTTACAATTGAGAAGTAGGAAGAATACCTTTGATAGGGAAAATCTTTTAAATTAACATCTTGAGAAATGAGTACCACTTTTGGAAGAAAAATCATATCAATTTTTGAACACTGTGATTTAGAAAATAAACGACAGATAATGATTGTTAGAAGAAATAAAAAAACATATTGAGTTCTTAGAAGCCGAAGTAGACAAAGGGGAAAGATTACCAGAAGAAGAAATAAAAATACAGAAAAAATTAACAGATTCATTTATAGAAGCCCTAAAACGCCTAATAGACGAACAGTTGGAAGAAGAAATAGAATAAAAATATGAAAAAAAAAAAGTAAGACAGGTATTTCAAGAAGCAGCAATGCAAATGGGACTCTACAAGAGAAGAATATTAAATAATTATATTCATTCAGATAATTATTTTGAAGATAGAAAATATGGATACAAAATTACAAACACATAATAGACAAAACATGTAGCGAAATAGCAGAACTAATATATAGAATAGACAGTGATCCTAATCCTAGAACAATTTTAAAAGAGGTGAAATTTAAAGGAAGAGAAATACAATATTTTAAGAAAAAGATTTTCGACAATTAAAAAAGAAATCAAAAGCAAATATTTAGGATGAGTTTTTCAAGAACATTCAGATCAGTAGTAAGAACTAACTCTAGTTATGTTAAAGAAAATAATAATAATATGTTTAGACGAATTTTTCAAAATAATACTAAAGGAAAAGAATTAATAAGAATAGAAGAAGAAGTAGATACTGAAAGAGAAGCATAAGCTTTTAGAAATAATACTCTACATTTGTTAAATCCAAAAAACCTACATAAGACGGAGAATGGTTTAGTGAAAGTAAACTTTATAGTTACTATCAAGAACAAATTATACGAGTAGTAAACAAACAAGACGTAAGCAGAATTAATTCAATCACAAGAGAATCTTATAATAAAATTAGATAAGAAATATAATCTAATACATTTAGGAATAATGGTGGTAGGAGTTAAGAGTTTAACCAGACCACAATTAGGTGTTAAAGTTTTAATAAGCATACTTGATACTGGACATAAAAAGTTAAACGCTGCCACAATAGGAATGATGGAAATAAGTATTTCTGAGAATGCTAGAGTAGTTTATTGCCAACCTGGCTTCATGATTCCCTTCAAAGATTTTTATAAAGATATTCAGATAACAGTAAAATCTACGAGTTATGAAATGATAGAAAATAAAGATAACTTATTACTTTGTGTAGGATTTATTGGAAAGTTACAAGTAAATAGTAGTATTAGAACAAAATTAGATTTAAACAAGAATTTAGAAATTTTTGGAAGTAGAGGAATTTCTGTCCTAAAAGCAAAAAGGGCAGATATGTAGAGAAGAATAATATGAGGACGACCTCGAAGAGTAATATTAGGATAATATGAGGATGATCTTGAAGAATAGAGGTACTAGTTCTTTAGCTTATTTCACAAAAACTAAAGAATGGAAGTACGTCTCACCCTAGAAATAAGAAGAACAATTTGAGGACGACCTTGAAGAATAGAGGTACTAATTCTTTAACTTATTCCGTAAAAACTAAAGAATGAAGTACGTCTCACCCTATCATTTTTTATTAGATATTCTAATTCCTGAATCTGAAGTACTATATTCCTATTTTTAAGTTTTTCTTCTCTTAAATCGAGTTCTAAATGTTTCTATGATAGACTGGAAGAATGTTTTTCTTTTTCTAACATTCTTTCTTGAGATTGTTCCTCTTCATAATCAGAACATTTTATATGTCTTATGTCAGTACACTTTAAACATTTTACTTTGTTTCTTTTATCTGGGAAATATTTACATTTAATGCACCTATCTATCATAACGTCCGAGCATCTGTAAATTGATGAATACAGTTGTTCATTATATAGTAAATTGGGTTATGTCATTTAGAAGATTTATAGTGTCATCTTCTGAAGAAGATTCGTCTTCTGAAGAATTAAGTGAAATTTCTTGATCTTCACTTGAGTAAATACTATAAACTGACTCGACATCGGCATTATCAGAAATATCGATGAACACTTGTTCGGTATTATCAGAAATATCTATGAACACTTGTTATGCTTGGTAGAAAGGCCAAAACCGAAATCTTAGAAAATAAACTTTTTGGAACTTACAATTGTAACGTGTTTGTGAGAATGAATGCCTACAGTAATGTGATTGTTATTATGTGATGATTCAAAAAGGTCACAGTAATGTAATTGTTATTATGTGATGTTTTCAGAAAAGTCACAATAGTGTGATTATTATTATGTGAAGTTTTCAAAAAGAGCAATTATTTCACTTTTTGGTTTGTCACGGCGTGGCTCTATATAAAGAGCACTCCGTGTGTGATTACAGTACACAGAAAAGAAAAGAAGTCAAAGCTCTCTTTTCCTGCAATCTTTTGTGTCATAGTTACGAAACTAAACAGTGTAATATCTTGCACTCGCTTCTCTCATGTCCCTAGTAAAGGTTATCTCTCTAACTTTTCCTGTTATATTATAACAGAAGTATGAAAAATTAGGTTTTATTTTAGTGTCTTGGAAATTACCAATGCACCCTTCCTAATTCTAGTGAAATTGGGAAAACCATATTCTATCAGGATTAACATCCCTCGTTTTTATTAAACCGACTACGGATTAGGACGCACACTGAACCTATACAAGGACGCACAGTGTTCTCTCCATCCTACCATCAAATTACTCTAAACAATGTCGAGCACTCCGGTTAGCAGAACTTGCCTTTGTTCGCCGTCTACCCACCCTGAAGCATTCCGCTGCCGGTATCACCGGAACGCTGCAATCAAGAAAACTTCAGCAAACTCAAATAAGCTGTCCATACCATCGTCGCCATTCCAACAGAGCGGGTGGGTCAAGAGGTTCTTGGCCGCCGCTTTTCCTCGTCCTTCCGCACAGGACAAAAGAAGAATCGACACCTTCCAGTCCCGGCCCAGCCCTCTGTCGGTCATGTTAATGGCCAACAACGGCTGATGGCAAGTTTTTTTCTCTTTCTTGTTCTCTTGGCTATATGTTTGCTCGTTTCTCTTTCTTCTTTTTGTTGGCTTCTTGTTTTTCTTAACACAGGTTTTGATCTGACATTCTATTTTTTTAAAACATTTCGGTAAACAACAAAACTAGAAATCATAGGATATCACCACCTTTCAAAACTAGAAGGTTTTGTTGTAGGCTGGTTGTACAAACGCATGCAGTTTTCGGATTTAGTCAAGTTTACGTAACCTCTGTTAGTTTGCTCACTCAGTTAGCGATCTTGCATGACCCTTCAGATTTCCTATCATGTATCGTTTCACCAAGTGTGTATAAGCGAGTTCTACGTCTGCCTATTTAAAAACCCTAGTCATTAAATAAGACATAGAGATATACGAGAGGGTGAGGTGTAGAGAAGGCTACCTATCGGGGACGTGTGAAAGCCGCCGTAGCTGTACAAGTGCTCGCTTTTTCTCGACGGGTGAGGGCAAAACCCTGTAAGCGTTAAGCTGCCACTCTTTAAATTAAATCCCAGTTACTAGTACACAACAATCCATACCTATACCCCCCAGCTACTAGCACACATTAAGATCAAAAAAGTGTGGACACGGCCAAAAGAGGAAAAAAAACCGCCCTGAGTTGAGTAGGCAACCAACTTCGAACGGAGAGGGCTACCGCCTTGTTAAAGTGAAAGCCACTATACCGAGCCCTCTTGTACCGAAAAAAGTTTTTAACTCAATTTGAATCTGTAGATTTGGGACTCGCTCATACATACTTTGTTGCTGCACATGATGGGGAATCACATTTAAGCATGTGCAAGCTAACTTGTTGAGTAAACTAACGAAGGATAAATTTCTCTTGACTAGGTTATGAGAATGCAGTCGTTTGATGCTCTTTTGCTCTTTTTTTCACATTTCTTAATCTTTGATGTATAATTTACAATGATAGTAATAAATAAAGGATTTTATTCGTTTTGCTATATACACTTTTACTTTTTTTTTTTTTTTTTTTTTTTTTAATCTTTGTGCATTTAGTTCTACATAACAAATTCAATTCTGCGCCCAGAATCCTCATACTGATTTTTTAATTGAGATTAAAGTATCAATCCGGAAAATAAAAATTGAAATCGCTAACAAAGCGACATTATTGAGAAAAACTAGGAATAAAATTATCAATGTAGCCACAAACCAAACGTCATACAATATATAGACTATAGAGTCCGAGAAAGAATGGTTTGGCGGGTCGTGCCAGTAAAATCACCCTGTGAGCTCCTCCATCTTCCCCTGTTAGTGGAGGATACAAGTTAGAAAGCTAGCTAGAATTTACCAAACCAAATTGGATCGAGTTTCAAGCTGTCCGGTTAATTAAACATACCAGTGAGATGTACTTCTCAGCATCAGTTCGTTTGAGAAAATGCATCGAGTGCTGAGCAAAATTGGCCGTGTTGAAGCTAGGTAATTGTACTTCGCCCATGTCGTCGAGGACTCTCACCTTGATGTAGGGGTCTTCGGGGGCACCATATCCTGGCAAACACAAGAAATCAGAATGAGGATCTTTCCTCACAAGATGTAGTGAAACAAGGGCGAGGATTTTTCCTCTGTTAGCACACCCATAGGGCATCTACCCAATGTATTGCTCACCCCACACCAATACTCGAAATATGAACCTTACAATTAAAAATCCACTAGCAGCCAAGATGACAATGTCCATTGTTTCATCGTACTTTACAACAGGGTTTTGCTTCTCCAACTGCAGATGATACTATGATTCATAACTCCAGATACTAGGACCGATTTCAAAATTTTGGCTTTCTCCTATCATGTTTGGTTACTGTCAAAAATTTTCTTTACATTTTTCTCCAGGGTTTCCCATTGTGAACGGAAAAGATAAAAGAAATGTCACTGAATTTTAAAAATTCGAGAATTTGGTACGTCTAAGTTCTGCTTATGTGATCAGAAGAAAGGGTTTACCAGTGCTATTCACTGAAGCTATTAGCATTATCATCAGAATAATTCCAACGTTACAGAATGAAAGCCAAAGGTTCGAAACCTACCCATTTAAGAAGCAAGATACTTGTCTTAAGTTTATAGAGCATAGAGCTTCTCATTAATGAGCAACAGTCAAGCAAGTTTCTCAAAAAAATTCATTAAAAGCGACTCCAATGTGCCAGTCAATTTAAAGTATACAACTTTCCAGTCATTACCAACCAACAGTCATCTTGCTCAAGTTTCAAAATTAATTCACATGAATATTCAAGTATCAAAGAGAAAGACTTCCAAACTTATCAGTTTATTATACTATGAAGTTATAACTGCAAGTGTAGAGAGAGATTACCATATCCAAATGGAGTTCCACTCTCGACATGTATGATCTTAAGCCTCTGAATGTTTCTTAAAGTACTCTTTCTCTGTGTGATTAAGCTTCTCTTCAATTTCTTCTGGAATTTCATAGCCCACCTTCCATATGAGATTCCGTAACATTTCTGCTCGGCTGTGCCTGAATGGTTATGAGAATCATGTACAACAAAAGCTGATTAAAGATCATTTACATAAGGCGTACCGATTAAAAAGAAACATATAATTATATAACAGCACAAGAAGGAAACAAAAAATTACATGTAAGTCATTAAGCAGCGTTTATTGCGAAGTAAAGAAAGGTGGTGGATAAGGAAACCATAGTGGTCCTCATTTTGAGTTTGGAAATCTATTCCTTCTTCCTGCATTTTCCTGTTGCAACATCAGGTCATATAAGTTGACTAAGAATACAAGCAAAAAGATAAAGCCGGGTTTATGGAAATTTAGACATAAAGCAAAACGAGATGCACAGTTTTAGACTTGGTCATACGGGTTAGCTGGTATTTCTCAAAATAAAAATGCTCGGCACATGATGATTATTAATCCAACACTGAATCTTGGGACTGCCTATGTCCAAGCCGAAAAACGTAAAAGTATGGCTCGAAGGGTATATACACCAACCAAAATACAGTGAAATTATCAATTGAATTGCAAGGAAAACCCCGGTATCATGATCTGCAATTTAAGACTTAAGGCAGTAAAACAAGCACTGAGGCACTATAAGCACAGATACATACGCTCAAGTGTATCTGCAACTCTCATGCACTTTCTTTTACTTTGTAGTAGTACCTATCTTATTTTGAAAAGTCAAAAGTTATGACGAAAAAAACATGAAGCCTGAGCAATTTATATTTCAACTCAAGAATGAGAAACTTCTTAGATCACTGAGACAGATTTCAAGCAGATTCTTGGGATTGATTGGATCCATTCCCCTAATTTCATAATAGCACATCAATTTTATTTTACATTAGAAGAATTTCAGCAGTTAAGTTGTACAGCTTCATCATCTAAGATGAGATGAAGCATGTAATTTGCTGCTATGGAATAGAAACAACAAATTTGAATGGGAAAAAAGAAAAGGAAACACACAATCAAAAACTGCAATATCATGTTACCTTAACGACTTTTGAAGATCTTCATAATGTTGACTACATTCTGCAATTACATCCTTGAACAGATTACTCTACAAGATGATAGTAACATATATCAAATAAGAGAATACATAGAAAAAACAGACAGATTTATGGCAGGTCAAAATGAGAAACAAGATGGTTCTCTACTTACACTGAAAGCCTGTGAGCTGCCCCTTTTCGCCATTTGCAATTTCTTTGACCAGTTGGATGGCATTTGTCCCATACATCTTCGAAACTCCAAAAAAGGCCAACCCTACCCCAGGATCCAAATAAATGTTCCTTATAAACCTACATTCAACAAAACATTAGATCAAACAGCTTACGCGCATAAAATTGAGACCCTAAAGTACCCACTATTAACCACGGCCAAAAACCCTCAAAAGGCAGAGATTCATACAAGTCTAAAGAAACTTTGAATGATTCTTCCTTTTTTTTCTTTCAGAATTTCCCAAATTATAAAACATATAGAAAGATAGATACAATCGAACTAAATAACACAAATCTAAACAGATCTGACGGTACAAATGCATTTTCATTAATATGCAACATCTAAAATTAACAATTAATTATCAGTAACTATGCCAAATTGGTGTTAATGGAGTTAATAATCTGGTAAGCAACCACACCTATTAAACTCCATTTATCAATTGAATTATAAAAATAAATAAAATTGAGAAGCCTTCATCACGTTCCCAGTTCAACACTGGGTAACAAAAAGAATGAAAATTGAACCCGCCAAATTACCAATAAAACATAATTGCAACAATCGCAACCCGTACCAACGAAACCTTCACATATGACAGCCCTTACTTAAAAAAATTCTCAAATCACAGCCCTAATTTCAACAAAAAAAAATCCGAAATCACGGCCCTAATTTCATCAAAATCCCCAAATCACAACCAACCCTAACTTATGAGTTGAATAAAGAATAATAAAAATAAGTGCCCGCTACCAAGAGCAAGAGAGAAGACGAGTACCTGGTGGAATGGCTATCCCAACAATGGACAATCAAGATTTACAGTTTTGCACCTATATAGCAAGCAATAGGAGAGACGAGAGCGCGAGTCTGGGAGAAGGTATCTCTGAATTCGGAAGATGCCGACTGAGGGAGGCTGAGGAAGACGACGGGACGGCGACTCTGTTTCTGGAAATGAGTTTCCGAAAACAATGTTTTTTGAAATCTTTATCTGTTTTGCGTTGCTGGAGTTTTCGCGGGATTTTGCTTTGAAAAGTTTTCAGTTACCGCTAAAAAGCTGCTACATGAGTGTTGTCCTTACATCACTTCGAACGTGATCAGCTCTCTAATTTAACATTTAATTTAATAAATTTATCGTTTAACCAAAAAAAAAAAAAACTTCAATTAGAGTCAACAGCGAACAATGTTAAGGGACGGTTTGGCGTTGTGGTGCTTATTAAAAAAGCTTTTTTTTTTTTTAATTTTGGAACCTTCAAGTGTTTGGTAACTGAAGTTCATCACATTATTAATCATACTTCAATCACATAAAGTCCATGGTGGGGTGTCACATAAGGGTGTAAATGAGCCGAGTTAAGCTGAATATCAAGGTGCTCAAGGTCGGCTCAGATAATATTATGTGTGCTCAAGCTCGAAAATAGATCGTAATCCCTAGCCTATGCTTGACTCGAATAATTTATTCAAGCTTGAGCTCGTTTGTAAACTAAACATGAGCTTGTCATTAGCTTGCCCAATTTGTTCTTTAAACAAACTCGAGGTTATGTTTTGTCCAGACTTCATTTTCAAATGAATCTCATAAAATGAAATTAATACACACCGTTGATATAATATAAAAAGAGCTAAAAACGTTTAACTTAAGAAATTCGAGCTTGAACGATCAAAAACGAGTCGAACTTGAGCCGTTTGAGCCGATTTACAGCCCTAGTGTCGCACTCATTAAAGCACTCGCATGATAATTTAGTTTTAACCTTTACCTAAAAATTGCATGGCGATTTGATCATGGTGATCTTAAATTATTATATTTACACACGCATAATGTGTGAGGTCCATCGAATATTTATTCAAGTTGATTAATATAGTTTATAAACTTGCAGCGCTTGGTGTAGTGCCGCTAGCTTACGTCACTGCTGGGTAACGAGTAACATTACATTGTATGTTTAACCCAACTAAACAATCAAGAAGCATAATTTCAGTGCTAGAAGGGTATCATTTAGGGACAAAAACCATCTACTTAATTCAGACAAGAGGCTCGGGATCTTGAACCTGATAGAAATGTATAAAATCGTTGATTCACCTCAACAGAACTTTGCCCAGGTAACTTCATCAACTCCTTTTCTCGCATCAAGTTTCTCAACCTAGCTTCATCTTCCCACCTACAGGCTTCGGCGTATATGTTTGACATAAGAACGTAGGATGTAACTGTTTGAGTATCTAAATGGGACAGATGTGCTGTCACAAGCTCGGCGAGCTCAACATTGCCATGTATCCTGCAAGCACTAAGTAAAGCTCCCCAAACACCCACATCTGGATCAACCGGCATCCTCTCAATAAACTTATAAGCCTCTAGCAAACAGCCGGCTCGACCCAGAAGATCAACCATACAAGCATAGTGCTCTAAACCAGGGCAAATTGAGTAGTCTTTGATCATGCTCTCAAAGTGATTTCTCCCTTCTTCTACTAGACCCACATGCCTACAAGCAGTCAAAACAGCAGTGAAAGTGAAACTATTTGGTTTGATACACTGTTCTTTCATCATAGCGAAAAGCCTGAGAGCATCATCACCGTGACCATGAGAAGCACAAGCCCCTATTATAGATGTCCAGGACACAACGCTTTTATGAGGCAACCCCTGAAATACATCCTTGGCCAGGTTTATGTTGCCACACTTTGCATACATGTCAATGAGTGCATTTGTGATTGAAGCATTGCTCCGAAGCCTTTCATTCGAATGAGCTCATGCAACCATCTCCCAGTGTTAAGTGCACCCAAGCTAGTGCAGGCGGAAATAACACTGACTAGTGTGATATAGTCATACTCGACATTTTCAGTTTGCATCCTGCGAAAGAGCTCTATTGCCTCTGTCCCTGAATTATTCTGTTCATAGGCGGCGATCATTGCATTCCATGAGACCAAGTTTCTTACTGCCATCCCATCGAATAAATATCTTGCAGTGTCAAGATTCCCACACTTGCCATAACATGCAATCAAAGCATTCATGAGTGCTACATCTTTGTCAACACCAACTTTAATTCCAAAACCATGAATCAATTTTCCTAAATCCAAAAATTCCAAACTAGCACAAGCAGGGAGGACGCTGACCAGCGTTACAACATTTGGTTGGGTATCTGAAGCCACCATGTCTCGCAAAACACTCAACCCTTCTTTATAAAACCCATTTTGCACATACCCTGCTATCATCGCAGTCCAAGAAACTATGTTTTTCACAACCATTTCGCTGAAAAGAATCTCGGAGTCCAAAGTTTCTCCACTCTGTGCATACATACTGACCAAAGCGCTCTGAACAAACACATCCGAATGAAACCCATATTTAATTACATTACAATGCACTTCCTTCCCTTCCCTCAAAGCCAACTGCACCGCACAGGACCGAACCACAAAAGGGAAAGTGTAGTTATCAGGTGACAACCCACTGCGATGCATGTTTCTGTACAAAACTATGGCTTCATGGCAAGGACCCTGATCAGCATAACCCCTAATCAAGGTGTTCCAAAGAAATACATCCCTTTCAGGTGTGGCATCAAAGAGTTTTTGTGCATAGTCCATAGTAGGGGCCAATGAAGATGCCAAAGTAACCAGCTTTGTTGAGAGGAGGAGGCTTTGGTTGGATCCATGTTGGAAGATTAGAGCGTGGATACATTTGAGGTTTGAAAGAGAAGAGCAGGAGTTTAAAAAGTAGTTAAAGGAGAGGAAATGATAATTCTTGGGACAGAAGTGAAATGGGGCAGAGGTAACAGGCTCAAGTTTTCTGAGGAGTGGTCGGACAAAATGAGCACACATGAAATTCCGGCATTGGTTTTAAGTTTTGGAGTAGCTATGGGTATGCAGCTTTCTTAGTCCAAGGTACATATCTCTAAGTTGTAGTCCAAGGCACATTCCTTCCTGAGCAGCCTGAAAACTTGAGACGGACAAGAATTAGAATACATTTCTTCTCATTTGAACATAAATAAATAAAAAAGAAACGTTTGCTAATGGTCAGCAACGGAAAAGGCCAAAAGAGGAAGATGAAAAAAGAATGTAGTATGTAATAAAACTGTAATCCTAAGAAGCCTTGAAAATCATTCTAAGCATTCTGAACAACGTTCATGGGGCGCACTAGCGATGAAACACAATTCATCTTCCCCATAAACACTTACACTACTCAAAACCAAAAGCAAACAAATCTGCTTCAAGATGCTAACCTGAAAAAATTGATCATATTTATCGTATGCAATGTGAAAAAGAAATAACAACATTTAGCAAAAGAGCGACTAGTAGAATAGTTGTAGCAAGCTCTAATAACAAAACTACATATGTATTACATATCCAATGACTTCCAACTTCAAACCAAAACAATCTAGTATGGTGATAATTGGATGTTTCGAGTTTGTCAACATGTTAACATATGTATGCATTTCAATATTGCAACGATTCAACCCTAATTAAGTTATAATAGCAAACATGTAACAGCAATTGATAAATACACCCTTATAATCTGTACAGCACACCCAAATTCCCCGAAACCCTAGAATGACAATACAATTAAAAACGGGAACAGAAAATTAGGGAAATAAATTCGAAAAGTCGATTGAGGGTTTGCAAAGTGAAGCATACCTGATTCCTGAAGGTAACGAAAGACTAGGAAATTCAACTCAACGGAGGTGATGGAGGTCATCGTCGCAGAAATCACCGGCTTCAATGGCTGTCATGAGAGGTCCGCAAATCGTGCGGCCCAGTTTCAATGAGAGAGAGAGAGAGAGAGAGAGAGAGAGAGAGAGAGATTGCAATGGCAAACGGGTAGGGATTTATCGGTTTTGCAGAGTTTAAGAGAAGAGAACAGAGACAGCAGCAAAGTGGAGAGATTTTCAATGTGATATCAGTGTTTATATAGCAATTCAAATATACCCAAAAATTCATTTGAATAGACCCAACTACCCTTAAAATTAAAACTTAATTACATCTAAAACCAAAACCTAATTAAGCATCATTATGATAGAGCTCGTTTGGATGTACTTTTAAAATAACTGAAAACGTTTTTGGTGAAAATATTTCTAGAAAAGCACTTAAAGTGTTTCCTGAAAGAAGCACATAATTGGTGCTTCTTGCAAAAAGCACTTAAAGTGTTTTTGGAATCTAAAAACATTTTCTTTAAAAACGCTCTTAGTCATATAAACCCATTCCGAAGCAGCAACATTAATTTTCTTAAACTTAGGATTTGAATCGTGATATATATGATTCTTGTCACATAAGAAGCCAATCACTATAAAATCGATCTAAAATATTCTCATCTTCCAATGCACTTATCTGGAGTGACTTGCTACAAAGACCTTCCTCCGTCTCCCTCTTTTTCTTTGCCTTTTACAGATCCATACTAAAATTGATTCACCGGTAGTGCATATTATGCTCAATTTCCCTCAATTAAATGTCTAATTTGGGTAACCCTCTACTTAAGAGATCATATGCAGAATGCATAAGAACATGCAATCGCAGTTTCATAAAAAATAATTACCTGCCGAATACTATTTAAAAAAATATCCATAAGTTATAGTTCTAACAAAATTTCCGAAGAAAAATCAATTAATTATCACACAAGAATATTCAAAAATTGTAGTTATGTGAAATTTTTATCATGATCTTCGTTCTAGGCTTGTAAATTAAGAAATGAAATTTGATACTTTGATTGATTTAATTTCCATTAGAATAAATACTTCTTTATTTTCGAGAATTTATCAATAATAGTCAAAATTTAACACTCACTTTCATAAATGTCACTTTTTATAAAATATTTCAAATATAACAGAAAATTCACATGAATAGACCTAAATACTCTCAAAATCCAAAACTCATTTACACATTAAAAAGCAAAACAATTGTATAGATCTCATCTACATCTTTGTTTGAGAAACTCTATGATGCCCGGATACTTTACTTTGGTTGCGTATCCCGTATCCGATACTTTTTCGGAAATGATACTTGCTAGATACTCTTAGATACTTGTTGGATACATATCATGGTTAATGGATACATTTTGACTGGACGGATACATGTATCCCACATTTGGGATACAAGTATCATGCTTTTAGAATACTTTTACACTTTCAAATAAAAAAATTAGAAAGAAAAAATTAATAAGAGACAAAGCTTTATTTGAAATCAGTGAATATGAATTACAAAGAGCAACCTCTAATTGAAACTATGAATACAATTGTCATCCTTTTTTTATATATACTAGGGGAATTAGATTTCCAACTTTTCTTCTCCAATAAATGACACACCCCGACTAAAATCAAGGCATGCTAACTTCCTAAAAACAAAACCGTGAGGGCGTGGTCAGGGCCCAAAGCGGACAATATCATGCTACGGTGGAGTCGAGCTTGGGATGTGGTGGGGGTCCGGACCGGGATGTGACAATAAATCAAATGAACTTGAATTTGAATGATCTTGTGTTATCAAAATATGTTCTAAATTATATTTTTATCTTTGTTTATTATTATATAAATTTAATTGTCAGTATCTATTGCGTATCGTATCCTACTTTTTAGAGATTTTTCGTATCACCGTGTCATGTCGTATCATATTGCCGTATTTGTGTCCGTGTTTTACAGATCATCTCGGAATTCGACCTCTTTTTGATGTTGAGTTAGGCAATAATTTGGGGTGCTAGGAACTCAATGTTTTGAAAGGGAAAGATGGAAGCCCCGAACATCCTTGTATCATGTACCACCACCTTATGGTTTGGTTTTGTCCCCAACAACTCAAACTCCTTCAAGCCTAAACCCTCTACTCTTCTGTTCCATCTCAGCTTTGAACTCTAAATTTTCATTGGCATCATAATTTTTTGCTGGTTATACTACTACGAGTCCTGACATTTTTGCTCGCGTTGTTTCTTATACTCCTCTTTTAAGTCTTTCTTTTCTTCTCTTCTTGGTGACATGGAGTTTCTCAATTTCATCTATGGACTTCTTTTTGTTTCCAATTTATAGTTGGTTTGACTTCACGAAATGTGCCTCCCATTTTTCCTTAATTCTGATATAATAGGGTGTTGTCTCTTATGTTTATTTGGTTTTAATTATAAGGGTATTTAGGTCTATTTAAGTGGTTTTTCTGCTATATTTGAAAGAATTTATAAAAAAAATGACATTTATGAAATTGAGTGTTAAATTTGACTATTAATAATAAATTCTCTTAAATGTTTAATTTCATCAAGCTTCTCTTTCTATCTTTTCGGATTCAAATTGAGATATGAAAATAATTAAACCCTAAAATGAAAAAAACACAATGAGAATCTCTTTGGAGTTTGTTTTCTATTTTGAGGGTAATTTGGTATATTGATGTGAGGTTTTGGCTATAAATGATAGTTTTTATAAAAACTGACAATTTTGAATTTAAAACATAAATTTTGGTTATAAACGATAATTTTTCCGGCACATGAGTTGGTATATCATGTCACTGTACAAATGGTACGATATGTGTGTTAAAAAGTTAATAACTTAAAAAATAAAATTTTTCACCACTTATATAAAAATACGTGGTGTACCACCGTATTCCCGTCACAATGAAAAATTTATCAGCAAAGTGGGGTGGGGAATCGAGAAAAAGGTAGATGTGTTAGGAACTTAAGGTTAATTGGGGGACGAGTTATTATTATTATTTTTTAATGCCCAAAACCTAGGACATTTCATCTATTGTCAAACTTGGGCTCTTGCCCTCCAGCCTCTATTTTGGGTTATGGACAAATTTTTTTTTTTTTTATACCTAATTATTTGAAATTTTTTTTTCGGGTGCTTTTTTCAATTTTGGGCTCTAGATAATCGCCCTGGTAACACTGGACCTGAGTCGGGCCTAGGTGGGAGAGTAGTTTCTTGCTTAATTTTTTATTTTTGGGGTTATTAAATACAGGGCCGGTCCTAAGAGTAGCCCAAGTAGGTGCCCGCCTAAGGCCCCCAATTTTTTTATATCCTGCAATTAACATATAAATACAGAAAAAGTAAAAAAATATCATGATTTATTTGTTGGTGTAGTGAAATGTTCATCTCTGTTTTTTTTTTTTTTTTTTTTGGGGCCTTGAGTTCGAAACATGGAACTACCATTTTAGTCACTAGTTTTTTCTTGTTTTCAAATTTACTCTCAATCCGTATGTCCAACTCCCAATTTACTCAAGTCCCCTTGCAATTTTTTTTCCTTTCAACTTTCCATACTCTCCATTTCTATTGAATGTTTAAATCAACCATCACATGGTCTTGAAGATTGTACTTTAAGGTAATCAAAACTATGAATTTATTTGTTGCTTTTCAATAATTTTTTTTATTCAATGGATTATTTTAATATTTGATTCGTTAGTGTAATGTTGATTTTAGAAAAAAAAACAAAGAGAAACAATTGGCATTGTTGAAGTTATTGTACTTATCAATCAAATTTTATTGTTTTTCACTCTTAATCTTAGACTCTTGGCTGCAAACATTTAGTACATTTGTGTCTAAAAACATGAGACATGTAATATTTGTATATTTATCTTCTTTTGAGTTTTGATATTAATTTTAATGATATTTAACGTGAAAATAGAAATTTTTATGTATTTAGTGAATTCCTTTTATACATATCAATGTATAAAGAACCAGAGATCATAGAATATTAGGCCCCAATTCAAGGTTCGCCTAGGGCCCTCAAATTCTGAGGGCTGACCTTGATTAAACACCGAGTCACAAAATCTTTCACAAAACAACCAATTTGAAATAACACTCTTCAATAAAAAATAAAAAAAAAAAAAGTAAACTGCCAATTTAACCCTTGAACTATCACTTAACTTTCGATTTCTCCCCTGAACTTTTTAATTGGAAAACTAAGGACTTAAACTAATTTTTTTTGGTCGATTTGCCCCGTGATGTTAATTTTTCATTCATTCCATCCAAATTTTTGTTAAATGGAAGCATGTGCACAACATGTGAAGATAATTCGGCCGCTTCATTCTTTGAAATAATTTAAAACCCTAGATTTCTAAACTATAAACCCATGTAAATATGTGTGATTCTATAGCTTTTGTGTTTGAAGCTCTAGCGAAGTGACGCTTTTGTCGACAAAGGAGAGTCACGTGTTGTGCACGTGATAAGAGTTAACGTTAATTTGGATGAAATCTATGAAAAACTAAGAGTAGGGGGATATCGGCCAAAAAATTAGTTTAAGTCCTTAATTGTTCAATTAAAATGTTCATAGGGGAATCGAAAGTTAAATGATAGTTCAAGGGGCAAATTAGTAGTTTAGCATTAAAAAAATATGGTAGGCTCTGGTTCGAATGATTTGAGCTGGTGAATATGTTTGATTGTGAACACGAGTAAGGTAAAATTTCGTATAACCTTTCTGGGGCTGAAAGATATAGATAATCGTATTTTACCACCAATTGTCCCCTTTTTATAAAAAAGAAAAAAAAGAAAAGAAATAACACCCTTAAATTTCTAGGCGAATTGTTCCTTGTGTAAAAAAATAAAATCATTACATTAAAAATTAAACTGAAGGTCAAATTGTAGGAAATTCTAATTCGTCTGTTTATATACAAGTAATTTTAGAGTTGAAAGCTTTGGAGAAGACGTGTGTCATTTAATTGTGAGGTGAGTTGGGCTAAAATGCCTTTAGCCTTTTTGGGCTCCAGTGGAGATTAGTTATACCCTTTTGAGTGTATGATACCTTCGACTTCGAAAGAAAAATAATGTTCTTTTTGTGGGATGAATCGACATATGTCTATTGTACTTGTTTATTCTATGGGAGCTTGATGAAGAACACTAGTATTTGAGTGTTTGAACGTTTGAGAGATTTTTGGATGTCCGAAGACCCTTCGACTTGCTTCATTTTCCCCTGGTTTATGAATGAGTGCCTACTATTTATAGGTAAAGAATTGAGCTTAGTTTGGAAGGCCCAATCTCAATCCCGTAATTGATTGAATTAGATTTTTGATATAGACTAGTTGATTTAATTTAGGAAGTTTTAACGAAAAGCCCTCGGTACTGTTTACTTTAACGAAAAACCATATGTTTATACTAAAAAGTCAAATTTAGTACTATTCACTTTACCCTTTATTTTGTTCATATCGTTAAAACTCAAAATTTTCAAGCCATTTTCATTAGTTTTCCTTTTAATTTAGTCATTAATTGAACAAAAATCTTTGGTTTAGGAAATTGAACCAAATTGATATAATTTGATCAAATTAGAGTTATTTTGTCGCTTTTTGTACTTGATTTGATTTGTTTGACGGATGTCTCAGGTGTCGACATGTGTCACTTTAGATAATTTATCTGACTTTGTTGACTCACATACTATGTGTGTAATTTGGCAGGACCTATGGTGTGCGCCATGTAAATCCTTGTGAGTCAAAATTTAATTTGTTGGCCAAAAATGCCTAATTTTTAATTCTATTAGAACTAGTTGTGACCGTGATCATTCTTTGATGTTTTTCTTTTGTTCATTAAAAAAAAAGTTTGGTGGGATTTAATTGATTTTTAGAAATATAAATGTCAAATTTTGAGTAAATCTCTCCAAATCTCAGGCGAGATGCGAGATGCGAGATTTGATTTTTATTTATTCTTAAAATTAAAATACACAAACAAATCTTTCTAATTGCTTTGAAATCAACAATAACAGTTGACTCAGTAGTTGAGATAAATTTTATGTCTGTATTTTACACGACACGTAATAAGTTAGTCATAATGTATTTCAAATTCATTTTTGACGAATCAAATTTAAGACATGTCACTTATAAATAATTAGACACAAACTTATCCCTTTTTAAGAAAAAAAAAAAAAAAACACTTTCTTAAATTCTGAATAGTGGGTTTGAAAACCTTCCCCTCGCTACTCGCCCCTTGATTTTATTTTTACAAATTTTATTTTTTTCACAAAAACTAGTCGCTGTTTCTCTCAGTCTCTCTCACCGACTTCTTTCCCCAAAATTTCCCCACCTCCTTCTCCGTCCGTAGCCTCAGGACAAGGGATTGCAATTCCCGTGGCAGCACCCTGCAAGTCGGCGAGGGATGGACGCGGTGTCGCTGTGCAGCAGCAGCAGCACAGAGCTTTCGCCGGAGGAAGAAAGGATTTTGATACGAGACATTGCTTTGGCTGCTGAAGCCAATTCCAAAGAGGGCGATGTCTTCTACTTGCTCACCCAAAGGTTGCAAATTTTTGCATTTTTTTGGGTTTATTTATTTATTTATGAAATTTGATGATTAATTTTTAAATAATTAGAAATTAGTTCTTCGCTGTGAATTGTTCATTTTTCGGTGTTTCTGTTAAAACAATGAAATCTTAATCTTTTATCAAATGGGTTGTGATTTCATATGTTGTAGTGAAAATTGGTTCTAATGTTTTGTGATATTTTTCATTTTTGAATTTGTTTCCAATTAGATGGTGGCAACGTTGGATTGATTATGTGAACCATGACCAACCCAATAACCCGAATGATGCATCCTCGGTGTCGGAGCATTGTGATTCGCCCGGTTCCAGTGCCTTAAAGAGGCCTGCTGGTATTGATAATTCTGACTTGATATATGATGCAGCATCAGAGGACACCAATTCGGGCATTGAGATACATGATACGTTACTGGAAGGCCGCGATTATGTCTTGCTCCCGCATGAAGTTTGGAACCGATTGCATACATGGTATGGAAATGTCATGCCTTTCTTTGTTAACCCTACCACTATGGAAATCCAAATACACTCAAGTGTTTTCATATATGTACACACATATTTATTGGGTTTTTATATCGTAAAAGGAAACCCAGAATGATCTTAACACACCACCAATTTTATTGAATTAATTGTATTCTAGAGATTTGATCCAACTTAGTGGGAAAAGGCTTTGTTGTCGTTGTTGTTGTTTAGTTGTATTCTAGAGATTTGTTACTTTCTCTTTTTTTGCAATGTTACCAATTGATTGAATAAATTTAACATTTATTTTGAGAGGACCAGCCTTCCTGAAAATTCCTTTAGATTTGCATTTCAGTGACCATACAGTATTATCTATGCATATTTTTGGGGTTGGAAGGGGTACCGAAGAGTGTATCTCTCCTTACACTTAAATGATTGCCTTTGAGCCAATATCAAGTTTCATTTCTGTGTTTTTTTGCAATTTATTGTGGTTGGAGGAGAATGTCAAGAGACTACATGTGTAATGCAGTGTTTCTGGTTGTAGGTATGGTGGTGGTCCAACATTGCCAAGGAAAGTGATTAGTTCAGGTCTTTCTCAGCCGGAGATGGCAGTAGAAGTGTACCCTCTGCGGCTTCAATTACTTGTGATGCCAAAAGGTGACCGCTCTACCGTACGAATAAGCAAAAAGGTAAAATATAAGGCAGATCATGATGTACCACTTTTTTCAGTGGTAGTTGCACCACTTTAGTAAGGTCTTACAAAGTATGTGCTGATTTTTCTTACCTGAAGATTGAAATTCTTTTGGCAGGAAACCATTGCAGAGCTTCACAGAAGAGCTTGTGATATCTTTGATCTTAGCTTGGAACAAGTAAAGTTTCCTATGTCTCTGGTTCTGCATCTAGCTTCATTGTTTGATTGAAATATTTTGTTCAGCAGCTCGTTTACTCCCTGTATGTTGTTGGTACTTAAGAATTTCCTCGATTGAAGGTGTGCATTTGGGATTACTATGGACGCCGGAAACATGCCCTGATGAACGACATGGATAAAACTCTTGATGATGCCAATATACAGATGGATCAGGATGTGAGTCTTCCATCACTTTATTGGAATGACATGCACAATTCTCTTTAGCATAGGACTTCATAATTTCATATGATGGTACATAGGAAATTTTATACGTTCATGTTTTGCTTAGTTAAAGCTACAGCTACATAATACATTTCCAAAAAATTGTTTCTTAATTTTGGAATCACAAACATATACTTCTTTAACATGATATCATTAGAGATTCTTGTGTTCCTTAATGTTTTTATGGGCTTTTAGGTTTGAATTGAATGTTTCCTTAAAACATCAAGTATAGATATATTGCTTTTGTGTTGCTATTCACTGGAAGTACCATTCTTGAATTATTATTCTACCACGTCAGTTTGCAAGAGCATCTGTTTTGCGTTGCACACTTCTTTCATGAGAGTTTTGCTCTGTATGTTGCTGGCCTCCTTTATATTGGTTAGTCACCTCCCACTACTTAGTTAACTTGGTTAATCAGAGTGTATTTTTGTAGTTATCTACCTCCAAATGGTTCAGTTGAGTTTGTTGGCCCATTTTGACCCGCCATCTTAGTGTCTGAACATGATTTATTGGTTTGTCACATTCTCTTTGAGGAACTTTCTGAACTGCATATATATGTACAAAAGCAATTTACGTTCACTTACAGCTTTCTGTGTTTCTTTTTTTTTTTTTTTTTTTTTATCCTTTTTTTTATTTTATTCTTTGTTTACGCACCATATGTTTGGTTTTTAATAGTGGAGATCTGTCTATTATATACCTGTAGGTACCAGTGTTTGGTTTGCAGGCATAGATGAGATGTGTCTGTGAACTTGGCTTCTTATGGTTGTGGGCTGTGACTGCAATTTTATGGCCTGTCACCAGCCTAGATAATGGTTTCTAGTTGAGACAGGTCTTATGTAGTATATGGAATAATATGTTATGCTGTAGCAGTATCTATGCACAAAGGTGCTTATTCTCTGTTGAAAATTATGGTGGCATGATAATTAATGGAAAATCTAAGTTTAGTTAATCGGTATTGAGTAGTATGCAGTGATATGCACACATTTTATCTTGCTCTGTTAAAAACTTTTGTTAAAGTGGCAAAGTAACTAGAGAAAATTGTGATGGATTTTGTGTGGTAACTGGTGAGGGAAGGAAATGACCGTCAATTGTGATGGGACGTAGATCTACAGTCAAGGAAGAGTGACCTTTATTAGTTGGGTTTTATAATTTAGTCGAAAAGGAGCACGGTTTTACTGGTTTAATGGTTGTGGAGATTTCCTTATTGGAGGCTTTACTTTGGCTTCATTTAATTTTAGTTTTGTTTTTCTGAGTTCAAACTTGTTTTGTTTTGTGATCAATTGAAGCAGATTCTGGTGGAGGTGCTTAACCCTGTCAATGGTAACACATCGGGTGGATCCCCGAGTTCTGTTCGCTCTTTAGAGAAGGAAGCTTCCTCTGTTCTTGTAGAGCCTTCTAAGTCAAGCTTGTCGATTGCAGGAGGTTTATCTGCAACCAGGGGTGCATCAAAGAACTACAGCTCAGAGCTCATACATAGTCAAGGCCTGATTGCAAGGGAACTGGATACTACATACCCTACGACTGGTGTTAGTACTAGGGGGTCGTCTGTTGGTTTGACTGGGTTGCAAAACCTTGGGAATACTTGTTTTATGAATAGTGCTATACAGTGCCTCGTTCATACACCGGAGTTTGCTAGATATTTTCGGGAAGATTATCATCAAGAGATAAACTGGCAAAACCCTCTGGGCATGGTTGTAAGTTTCTAACACTATCCGAGCTTAAATCAGCTCTATGTGCTTTTTGAAATCTATACTTTTGTTGCTATAATAGACTGCCAAAATTTCTTATTCAGTTTTGCAGTTTTTTTTTTGGGTGTGTTTAGGCTCTTGAAGACCCTGAGACCGTGAAATCTTTTGTTTTTTTTTTTTTTGCAAGAGACCTCTACAAATGTTAGTACTGAGATCTTTATGACTGCTAGTACTTGGAACTCTATGAATGCCAATACCTGTTTCTCTCTATGAATGATTTGTGTTCAGTCATACATGTTTTCAAGGAGTAGCTTTAATCTTCTTGAGGGTATTGCTTGCTTTAATCACAACTTGGCTGTTTACCTTATTCTCATTACAAAATGATGCATTTTTATGTCCATTCTTAGAATTGAAACAAACTACTATTCTCAATTCTCTAGGACATCGAGGTGATGAAAGATTTTCAGAAACAAGATATTTTGTTGAAATCGGTTTGTTGATTGAAGTCCAAGCAAGCAGTTTGAAGGATATACTGAGATAGTGTTGATTTGTCTGTGTTATTAAAATTTTGCTGCTTTTTTTTTATTGGCTGAATTTCTTTTGCTAAATTGGTCAAAATGTAGGGTGAGCTAGCTGTAGCATTTGGTGAGTTACTGCGGAAGCTATGGGCACCTGGACGAACACCAGTGTCCCCTCGACCTTTTAAATCCAAACTTGCTCGCTTTGCGCCTCAGTTTAGTGGTTATAATCAGCACGATTCTCAGGTTTGGTACTTGGCATTTAGGTTTTCACCAGTGTGTATGCATGCAATTTGCATTAACGAAAAACTAATTGTTGTTTCAGGAGCTTTTGGCATTTTTGCTAGATGGTCTTCATGAAGATCTGAATCGCGTGAAACACAAACCTTATATAAAGTCTAGAGATGCTGATGGCCGGCCTGATGAAGAAGTCGCAGATGAGTATTGGGCAAACCACACTGCTCGTAATGATTCTATAATTGTTGATGTGTGCCAAGTGAGTATGTTGTTGGAAATATTATATGTTAAAAAATTATTAGTTACTAACTTAATAATGGTCATTGTACAAGTGCTTAACTTGCATGCAGACTTGCAACGGTTACTACTATTACTACTGCTGCTGCTGCTAGTATCTGTTTAGTGTTATTTCTCATTTAAAATTTGAAGTTGATTCTGTTCATTATCTTTTCTTTCATTATGCTTTCTCAATCAAAGACCTAATAGATAAATGGTAGATAGTGTTTTCAAGACGCAGCGCTTAAAATGGTGTCAATATTACTCGTGATATATTTGTAAAATGGTGTCAATAAATGGTTGATAGTGTTTTCAAGACGCAGCGCTTAAAATGGTGTCAATATTACTTGAATATATTTGTAAAGAAAGAGATGTCTTGACTGGTGAACTCTTCATATGGTAGATGTGGATACCTGGATTCCTGCAATATTAATCTGTTGTAACCTCAAGGGCAGTTCAAATTGTTGTTTCTTATACATGTTGGGACTTGGTGCTAGATGTCTATCCTGTTTTCTACTTGTACTTTTGCTGGCAATAGTTGTTCCTATATTGTACATTATTCTTAATATAAAAAAAAAAAAAAAACTTTATCTTCTATACTTGTAAAACTTAAGATTAAATTGTGTGGTTTTGTTAAGTGGTTCATGCCCTTCGCACAATGTGGGTAAGTTATGCATACCTCACTATCATTGTCAATTGAATAGTAGTGTAACTGATGTATTAAAATTATATGCATTTTCTTAACATGTGGGTGAAAGCTTATTGGTCAACCTTGTAATTTAGTTTAAAATGTTCTTTCAAGCTGAGGAACTTACCATTTTGTTCTTCCTTCCACTCCTCATTGCCATCATTTTCGTAAACATAGGAATGTTCTTTCAAGCTGAGGAATGTACCCTTAATTGTAACTTTTCTCCTACATAGTGAAATACACACTACAAAGTATAGTGGATGTAGCCCAATTATGGGTGAACTACTCAACTGCCATCTTATTTGTGTGTTCTGATTTTACCACTCCAGTGGTGAACCAAAATTCGCTGTCAATAAGTTTTTCACTGTCTGCTGACGTAACAATTTTATTCGATTTTGCTCCCAAGCAGTGACATGTATCACTAAGTTTGCACTTCCACTAATGATGTACAATCCTATGCTTTCTGCTCGCAATCTTCTGAGACTCGTCAGTTTTTTGCCTTCAGTTTTTTTACCTTTGAAAAAAAACTTCTGAGACTCGTCAGTCTTTTCATTTTTAAACCTTAAGTCTAAGACAAATTTCCATTCATTTGACTTGATAGTACCTGAGTTTAAATACGCTGGTTGTATGCCTAGGTCTTATTCCTTGTTGATTTCTTCTCCTAGTGCGCTAATTCTATGGGTGCTTTTTCTGACAAGTTTCTACAATTTGTCCATGGATTATACAAATAATGGTTTGTGACTTGTCTTCGTATTATTCTTTTGATTACCTTATAGACTTATCAAATATAAGCTTCCTGGTGTTGTATCTCATGTATCAAATAATTTCGTATTTTATGCTCGATGCTATGAAGGCCGGTGCATCATGGTTTGGTGTTAATGCAAAAGATATTTTCACTAAATCTTGATACTGATCGAAATTTTTTTCCTGGTAGTTTGTAATAACCAATAGTTTTTTCTCATGGTTTTAATTTTTCCTATTAACAGGGCCAATATAAGTCAACTTTGGTTTGTCCCGTTTGCAATAAAGTCTCTGTTACGTTCGATCCCTTTATGTACCTTTCGTTGCCACTCCAGTCCACCACCACTAGAACAATGACGGTGACAGTTTTTTCTTGCGATGGAAGTGCATTGCCGTCTACTTGCACTGTCACAGTCCCAAAACAGGGACGTTGCAGGGACTTGATCCAGGTGCTTAGCAATGCTAGTTCTGTGAAGCACGGTGAAAAGCTTTTGCTTGTGGAGGTTAGCAGCATTTTACATTTGGAACTGATGCTTCTGTGCTTTATGAATCTGCATGGTTGGTTAACTTTTTCAATTTGTGGTTCACAGATACGAAATCATATGATTCAGAGATTTTTAGAAGACCCATTAATATCATTGTCTACCATCAAAGATGATGACCATCTTGCTGCTTATAAGGTTCCAAAATTGCCAAACAAAACAAAGTATCTTCAGTTGATACATCGCCGTCGAGAACAGTACGTATACTTTGACCTTCACCTTATATTCTGCACAGTGTTTAGAATCATGTAGAAAGCTCACTCTCCCCCACTAACCCTAACTTTGATTCCTGTACCCACGTTCACAAAAAGTTATTTTCCTTGCTTGACTAGTCCCGGCCAATTTAACCACTTTTATAAGCATTTTGAAAAGAAGCTGGTTGTTGAGTTAAGACTGCAAAAATATAATTTGTCCAGAATTAATTTTTCACATTTTCCTAATCAGAACAATTTGAAAAAGAAAAAAAATGTGGTGTTGATTTTACGTCTCATTTCAAACCATAAAAAACAAAATCTATGTGGTGTTGATCTGTATTTCTCTTGAACTTTAAACAACTGGACTTTTTTCATGTAGATCATTTTCTGGCTTCTCCTACTAACTTTTAATTGTCTCGTAGAGGAATTAGTGATTCCCAGGTTGCATCAGGATGGAAACCCTATGGAATACCTCTTGTCTCGCCAATCTCTTGTGTTGATGAAATTAAAGGAGGCAATATACAGACGATTGTTCATAAAATGCTTTCTCCAATGCTTAAAGCTAAAAGTATGGATATATCCGGTGTAAGCTCAACAACAGCTGGATCAGACGCCTCTCTTGATTTGGGTTCACGTGAAGCATGTACTGATTCCACTGTATCAAATTCAGCTAGTAAGGACATCACTAGTTCTGAAGCGGTGAAAGCCCAAGAATTGCCTCTAAAGTTGGTGGCTGAAAATAATTCATGCATTGATCTATCAGCGAGGAAAGATAAAGCCATCAAATTGGCCTCATCTTCAACATCAATACTAATATATGTTGATTGGTCACAGAAGCTTTCGGAAAAGTATGATACTCAGTATCTAGAAACCTTGCCAGAAGTTTATAAATATGGACCTGTAACAAAGAAAGCCCGAACTGAACCTCTCTCCTTATACACCTGCCTTGAAGCTTTTCTACGTGAAGAACCACTGGTGCCTGAAGATATGTGGTTAGTCTCTCTCCCTCTCGACTAAGCCCTAAATGGATGTATTTTAATCATATGTAGTTTGCCTTTTGAACATCAAGAGGTTCTGTAGGAGCTGTATCCTGCTTAATAAGCGGAATTTTGGATTAACTATGTATTCTGTTGAACGAAGCTGTATTCAAACAAGCGTGTCTTAAATTAATAGAATAATTATGGTATGGTGTAGGTACTGCCCGAAGTGCAAGGAGCGAAGGCAAGCAAGTAAGAAGCTTGATCTATGGAGGCTTCCAGAAGTGTTAGTCATCCATCTAAAGAGGTTCTCATACAGCAGGTCGATGAAGCATAAACTGGAAACCTTTGTGGATTTCCCAATCCATGGTTTTGATCTAACACGTTACGTTGCTAACAAAAACAACTCGCGACGTCAACTTTATGAGCTCTATGCCTTGACCAATCACATTGGCGGAATGGGTAGCGGCCACTACACTGCACATATCAAGGTATCTGGGACGATAGAAGTATATTTGGTCGAAACATTAATCAGCTGCATATCTCACCGGTAATCAGAAATAGATTTATTGACTGGTTTGTTTTACGCAGCTTCTAGACGAGAATAGGTGGTACAGTTTTGATGACAGTTGCGTATCACCGATAAATGAAGACGAGGTGAAGTCAGGCGCCGCGTATGTACTCTTTTATCGGCGTGTGCCAACTGAAGATGCAGCTGTTAGCGATGTGGCCTAATCCTTTGCAGCGACGTCAAGTGTTTACTTACAAAAAATAGTAAGACTAACTCTCAAGGCTATGTTTATTTCGTGGACTAAATTACAGATGGAAAAACTAGTGAAATGTGTTTAGTAGGTTATTTAAAAACTTCAAATGGATGCTTGTGTGTTTTTCTTTCAAAATGACAATATCATGTAAGGCACCACTATCATTTGTGTTCATCACAATTTGCTCCCTAATCGCCGTTGCCTTACCACTACCTGCGCCATCACGTCCACGGTCCAGCCACCATCGCTGTCACTGCCACCAATGCCAACGTCACTGCTACCATCACCCTTGCCACTGTAGCCACCTCCACGGTCACTTTCTACGCCAACATAACCCCTACCACCTAGCAACCACACCCTCTGGCGGCACCACTCCTTGCTACCATCCATCGCGACATCTCTGCCTCCTATTGCCACCATTCATACCCCATCACCATCGCCACCGCATGCAACTACTGTTGCTACCAGCACCACCTCGTCACAATCGCCATCCCCGCCACCACCTGCACATCTTCAAACCTATGTTTTTCTGGGGCTAACAACATTGTACTCTCACTTCTCTCCCGTGAGAGCTTTTCTCACAGCCATGTGACTGATTTTCTTTCTCTCTGTTTTGTTTTGGCGCCGGCCCTAGCTTTGGCTGGGGGACCCCGTGTATTTCCTTTGTGGTTTGTGCTCTGAATTTTTCAGTTTTTTTCCTCTTCCAGGAGCCTGCACATTTTCCTTCCCCAACCATGCTATCTGCACGATCTACTCCTCATTTTTCTCCTTTTGCCTTTGATTTCACCATGCTGGGTCCTATTCCCGAATCTCCATTTCCTCCATCCTCTTTGACCCTTTCCCTCCATTATCTTCCTCAGTTGGCTCCATCATCTCTCAACTTAACGCGTTTTGTTACGGATCTTTGGGAGGGTGTGTAGAGCTTTAGCTCGGGTGTCCACACCACCACCCTAGTTGGCCCTTGTTCGTCACTCCCGTTGCTTGCCCTTGTCAGCGATGTTGTTCGTGGGTTATTGCTACCTGCGTGCTTCATTGTTCTCATGGCGGCTATTCTGGTGCTGGTCTATGGATGATGATGTGACCTTTGTCCTCACCAATTCTGGGTTTCTTGTTGGTCTAATCTCAGGTGATTGTGGAGGGTGGTTGATCGTGACGATTGTGATGTGGTTCTCTTGTGGTGGCATCGTCGTTTGCAACTTCAGGAAGCCTAGTTGTTTAGGGTTTTTTGTGTGGTTTGGTTGCTTGTGCTGGGCTCCCAGGTTGGTCGTCTTCTGTGTGTTGTGGCCCTTTCTCTTTTCCTGTGTTTATTTAGTTTTGAGCTTTTGTTGCACTTCTCTTGTTGTTAATGAATTTTATCCTTTTGACCAAAAAATAAAAAAGTAAAAACATCGTACTCTTTAGGTTTGAGGCGGTTTTCAAAATGGGTCATGATGTTCTAATTTTCTCACTTTGGACCCTAGTACATTCTTCTATTTGGATGTCTAATCCTCCACTAAAATCATGAATTTTTTTCCTTTTTTGGGCTAATGCAACGCAAATATAGCTTACACGTCAACCCATATATGGGTCTTATGTTTATGGGGTCATAAATTTAACAAATGATCAAATAGTCAATAAGATCAAAGGTATATATTGATAACATTTCAATACTCTTATAATGAAAAATGAGAAAATTACAAATTTTTTACGTAATTTAAAAATCACCTTAAACCTAAAATATGTAAAATATAGTAAAATGTGTAAAATATAGTTTACCATTTTTACTACAATTGATCCCTCAACGCATTCAAAAGTCACTACAGATGGTCCTCAACGCATTCAAAAGTCATAGGTTTGGTCCTGATTTTTCAGAGTAACCTTTTTGTGAAAAAAAATGTGTAAAATTTAGTATTAATCTACATTTCTAGTACTTCAAACCAAAAATATTACAAAAATAAAACACACAACTCCGTCCATAACTTATTTGGATAATCACGTTCTGAAAAATGATAGGAAAACTATCTTTCTAGACAATATTTTATAAATTAAATTGTGCGACAGTCAATAGTTAAATTCTATTTTTAATAATTTAAGAAGTGACTTTAACCGACAATCATCACATTATGCGGTTTATAAAATATGATCTAAAAAAATTGTCTTTTTAGCGTCACCCGTTTTGTTTTGGTTAATCAGGTCAACTACAATTTATAAAAAGAAGCCGCGTTTAGAAACCTGCGACTCTCAGTAGAATCCAATAAACGTACCGACATTTTCAGTTTTGGTAAATAAAAAAGGGACAGTTCTGACTTAGATTTTCCAAAGATCACTGTCGTTAAGCACCTCGTCTCGAAGCTGAACTCTTGAGATCTGTCTGACATGATCTGACACAATGAGAAGCCTTCGATCTTCCCCAATTGCTTCCAAACCCATAATTTATGGTGTTATTCATATGTTTTTTCTGTTAGCCAGCTCAAATACGGCGCATGGAGAAACCTTCGACTCTGTCTTGCAGCTCCTCCCACAACCCTGGTGGACAAGAATCCGACCCGGATCCAAGAGGGTCCTCTCTGTTGGTGAGTTTGGTGCAAAAGGAGATGGCGTCACTGATGACTCTCAGGTAACATAATTCCCACAATCTGTAATATTTCTGCTGGCTTATTTTTGTTTTCTTTTTAGGGGTTTTAAAACAAAAATTTACAAATGATGACATTGTTCAATGGGTGCTATAGTGAATAGGGTTTTACTCTTAAGCACACTGCGTTTCGAGTTCAAATCCTTTTCCCTCTCGTAGTCTAGCTTAGAATAGTGATATCGCTTGAAATGAAATGACGACATTGTTGCTTTATTGGTTTAACAATATATGAAATAACTAATTAAATGCACTATGAATTGTGCCCATTTTGCAGAACCACGAATTGTTTCAGAAATTTAATATTAATTCCAGAAATTTTATTCAACTTTTACGACGTTTATCAATGAGAGTTGTTTTTCCTTATAAATATAATTTAAGTGGGAGAGATGGACTGAGATGTATGGTTGATGAGATAGCTATGGAGATGCATTCTCTGGGAATTAGGCGATAACGAGGCACTTTCTTATGCATTATTATTTTCCACAAAACCGTTAATGAAGCCTGTGTCGACGAGTGATATGGTATTTTTCATCTCTTCAGGCTTTTAAAAATGCTTGGGAGATAGCTTGTTCTATCCCTGTGCGGACAAGAATCTTAATTCCTGCTGGAAGCACTTACCTATTCCATCCTGTTGATATCGCTGGGCCTTGTCGATCAAAGGTGACTCTAATGGTATGAATCAATTCTATTGCTTGCTGTAATTCTTTCTTTCTAACTAGCAGTATTTCGATGAGAATGCATCTATGGTTCAGTATTTTTTTGGTCCAAGAGCTATGGTTCATTTGACATTTGTTATTCAGAATTTACTTGCATTCCCTTTAACAAATCGCATGCCTTAATAGATCTCTGGTACCGTCATTGCTCCTGAAGATCCTGATACTTGGATTGGTTTGAATCGACGTAAGTGGCTCTATTTCCATGGGGTGAACCACCTTACAGTAGAAGGGGGAGGGACACTCAATGGAATGGGGCAGGAATGGTGGGCTCGGTCTTGCAAGACCAACTCATCAAATGTATATCCCTCTTGAACCTGTAAGCTTTATGTTTCATGTAAAGATTATTCTACCTACATCTGTCTAAAAGTGGCTTTAATTTGTTTATGGCAGCCATGTCGACATGCTCCAACGGTTAGTGCTTTTTTGGTTAACGAGGAATGCAGTTGGTTTTTTCCTTTTACTATTTCATGCCTCCGATGGTTTTAATCATAACCTTAATATGGGATATTCAATACATTCCAGGCAGTTACGTTTCATAAGTGCAAGAATTTGAAGGTCAAGAATCTTTTGATTGTCAATAGTCAACAAATGCACATGACATTCACAAACTGCATGCGGGTAGTGGCATCAAATCTCAGAGTGATAGCGCCTGCTGTTAGTCCTAATACTGATGGCATCCACATTAGTGCGTCGAAGGGTGTTGAGCTCAAGGATACCATAATAAGAACAGGTCAGTTATCCAAGGGAACTATTGCCAATTTTAAACTTATTCAGTATTTGTGATCCCGGAAATATAATCTATTTTTCACGTTTGAGTTGTTACAGAAAAGGTTGTTGGTTGTTACCTTGAGCGATTTGATAGCAAAATTACGTGCCAATTGGAAGTTTGTATTCAACATAGTATTAGATCTAATGTTTAGTTTCCGATTAAGCAATCAAGGTTTCTTATAATCATTGTCCAATCCAAAGTGTGGTGAAAAAACTTGGTCTCTTTCTGATATTGGAGTCTTATACACTCAATCCAGGAGACGACTGTATTTCTATAGTCAGCAATTCTTCACGAATCCGGATCATAAATATTGCTTGTGGCCCCGGTCATGGCATAAGGTAAAACTGGACTATACTTCCATTTCTGGTAAACCTCGGAATCATCTGGACATGTTACTAATTTTGAAATACTTCATCAAGCATTGGAAGCTTGGGAAAATCAAACTCTTGGTCCCAAGTGCATGATGTAGTAGTTGATACAGCATTCTTGTCCAACACAGATAATGGGGTGAGAATCAAAACATGGCAGGTAACCTTCTCTGAACTCTGTTCACAGGCACACACCAAGGAGTTCTTTTTATTCTTCATCTTGTACTTTTGTTCTGAACCATTATGCATTTAATTGAAATTGGTTTTTCGTGCATCTTCATCAGGGCGGAAGTGGCTTTGCCTCCAACATTGCATTCCGGAATGTGTTGATGGAAAATGTATCAAATCCGATAATAATCGATCAGTATTATTGTGACTCCTGGCTGCCATGTCTAAATCAGGTATAGAGTTCTTACCAAAATTATAGCGCTACTCCCATTAATTCCAATGTCCTTCATAGGTATAAGCCGAGCTATTGTAGGTAACCGGTTCAAGAATACTTCCTCTTTCTCCGTGGTCATGAGTTACTGAGACTACTAAAAACACTTCATTCTTGCAAATAGATTATCTCATTCATCCCACGTATCGGTAGCCTCATACAGTTTAGTTCATAACTCTGTTAATAAGTGCAAGGCACAATTTATTTGACATCTCGACGAGTACTTGTTATTACGGAGAGACTTATTAGTTCTCCAGCAAAACAAAGTTCCTTAGAATTACTGACATTGTAATCTTTAGTTTTTAGAGCTGCTTAAACTAAAAGATATTTACATCAATGTCGTATGAGAATGCAGACTTCGGCGGTAAAAGTGGAGAACATATCCTTCGTGCACATTAAAGGGACTTCTGCTACGGAGGAAGCAATAAAATTTGTTTGCAGTGACTATTCACCATGTGAAGGGTTATACATGGAAGATATTCAGCTTCTACCATCCGTTGGGGAGATCACCACCTCTCTTTGTTGGCAAGCTCAAGGTTCAAGTTTCGGTTTGGTAGACCCGCCCGCTTGCTTCTCGTGTAGCGAAAGCTTCATTACGCAAAAAGTCCCGTCATACTCTACCATTCATTCACAGAGGTTGGGCAGTTTGGAATATGGACGAACAGCAACCCAGTAGATCGTGGTATAGATCTAGCTACAGCGTATAGAGTCGACATTTTTGGATTCCATATTGTTCTTGGAGCATGGATCCCTGAAGCATTTTCCCTTTGTATATAGTCCACTGTAAAACTTTGGTTTGCACAAAAGAGATAACGGCAGTGATGACATCGATTCGTTGGAATATTTGTACATAATGTATACACAGTATAGTTTTGGCATCGATTCGATGAAACATTACTTATGGAATGTATTTATGCATATTGTCAAAAAAAAAAAAAAAAAAAAAATTTTACAGGGAGACTTCGTTACAACATAAGCCAAAATTTCAAACGAATAAGCCTTTTCGAATACATTCTAAGATAACCGAACACATCGGTAGAAATAATGAATCGTCTGTCGCACCAGGAATACCAGAATCTAGTGCATAAAATCTCACAGCATCACATATTATGTGTCCCTTTATCTTCTGCATTTTCTAAACTGACTGCATTTTCATAGCCATAAGCTAGCGATTTCCGAGCTTAGGGCACCCCTCAGCAAGAGGCAAGTCCAAGTTTTCAACAGTTCTAAATGTTCTTGGGACCATCCTATCAACATAGAGAGTTCCCTCCAAATGATCACACTCATGCTGCAAAATACGAGCCTGCCAACCTGAAGCATTTACTTTGATGGGCTGGCCATTTCGATCAAAACCTGAAACCTCAACATCAAGGTTTCGCTCCACCACTGCTCTGAATCCATCGACGCTGCAAAATATCACAGTAAAATTACATATTATCGACAGCAGGCGATTCTAGTTTCCATGGACATAGTAACTTGAGTGAAAAAAAATTCTAAAACACAATATTAGAACAGTGTGAACTCGAGTAAGTTGAGCACCCAACACAAGCAAAATAAACAAGGGTCCATGATGAAATCCTATGTTCGCTTTCACACTGTCTTGATTGAGATTGATTATAAAAATTTCAACCTTAGAGATGAAAACTACTAACAAATGAGGAACACTTATAATGCAGTAGCAGTCATGTTTCCTATCATTTGTTAACTGAGATGGAATTCTTTAATCGAGGGACTCGAATACTAGAAACACCCGAGGTTGTCAACTATAGTTTCACATGCCCTATGACTAAGTCCCGGTTTAGCATTGAGACAGGTTCAAAATTCACCGTGTGGTAGTTCAGTGGCATCCAAGGAGATGGTATAATACATAAACTTTATTCATATCATATGATCATATCTTGCAAAACAAAGGAGCATTCAGTAACCATATGGAATCAGTTCTGTATAGTTTTGCAGAGAATACGGGTTGAAAATTCCTAACAAGAACATTGTAGATACAAATGTTGAGAATGATAAAGAAACTTAAATGTAACTTGAATCACCGCCACTGCCTCTGTAACATCAAAACCCCTAACAAAGCTATTAATCTCAGCTATCCATTTACGAGAAGAACAGGGCATTAAGGAAATGGATGTCATTTACTATTTCTTCCGACCTCAACCATAGATTTCTCTCATTTCTAGCTAAAATAGAAAAACATTGTATCCGTTACCTTAAGCACCCTTCAAAGAATACTGCAGTCTTGTTGCTCTTATTTTTAAGCTTCGGATTAAGAATCACCTGCCTCAAAAATAACAAATAAATTGCAATAGTCAAGTGCAACATTTTCAATCTTAAGATTCAATACATCACTTGGATGTTCACCTCTCTCACAGATACTTAACATACCAAAAGATCAAAAGGTCGTCTATCTTGAGCTGCAGTCGCTTCCTTAGGTGCATAACTGATATATTCCTTTGTATCTTCCAACACTATTATCTGCGCAGATGACAATGACAGAGTTGTTGCCTTCGTTTTACGGAATGCTAGGTTTTCATGAATAACGGAAGTTTAAATCTTCAACGAGAATTTAAGGCTGGTGAGTTGAGCTATACGTTCCACCAAAATAAAAAGAAAGTATCAATTTTTGTAACCGTAATAAAAAAACGAATGTCACTAAAATCAAGCAATGTAGCTTAAATTGAAGGGAGTTTTAACGAAAAGCCCACGGTACAGTTCACTTTAACGAAAAACCATATTTTTACACTAAAAAGTCAAACATAATACTATTCACTTTATCTTTTATTTTGTCCTTATCATTAAAACTCAAAGTTTTCAAGCTATTTTCATTAGTTTCCTTAAATTGAACTAAGCATTGATTATTTACTATTTAAAGGTCTATCTATCTGCATACATGGGCTTAGCCAAGTTCGAATCCCCCTCCCCATAGTTTAGAACGAATTTAGTGCAGACTATCGCTTGTCTAAAAATTTTACTCCCAAGAACCAACGCAGGGTGAAAAAGAAAGCTACATTTTACATTTTTTTCGACATTTTCTCAGCAGCCAAACAGAAATTAATGAGACAGAAGAAGAAAACAATAATCAAAATTGAGCCTTTAAGATAAAATACCAAAACTGACCCTCAAGGGAATTCCAATCTGAGGAGCAGCAAGACCGACCCCAGGAGCCTTCCGCATCACCCTCACCATATCATCAATTATCTTCTGGATCCTCTCCGACCCAATATCCCCGGGCTCAACATCTCGGGCCGGTTCGTGCAAAACCGGGTCACCCGCTTTCACTATATCGGGCATGCTGATGCTTTTCTTCTTCTCTCCTCCGAGACCCAGAAGCCAACCCGCTTTGGCGACGGGAGAAGAGGTTGAGCTGAAATTTTTCCCGATCGTGAAGTGGGAGTTGAAGACTGGATTCGGGTATGGAAGTCCGGGATCCAAAGAGATGATTCGGGATTTAAGAAATATCGGGGCGGTAGCTAGACATATCGGGCCGAGACGGAGCGAGAATCGGTGGATGGTTTCCATAGCCGTGGTTTGGATTTCAAGTAGAGGGTTTAAGGATGCTTTGAAGGTGATGATGTCGTCCACTGCTTCAATCAAACGACAGCAACAATAATGTCGTCGTTCAGGCACTTTAACGACAACGTCAAGTCAAGCTTTCTTTTACGGTACACTATGGTTGCAATTGCACAAGGGAAACAAACTTACAATTTGGACAAAAGACATCATTTATAAATTGATATGCATCAATTTTTTTGTTTGGTTTTATAAGCAAAAAAGTTTAGAATTTTCGCATGAGAAAAAAAACTATAAAATTTGGGATCTCTTATTCTCATGTTTAAAATCTATGTAAATAGGTGTTATTTCTAAATTTCTATGAATAATAATTTAAAATTAAAAAATACAGAAAATCTTAACCATGACTGGCCACCACTATTACACATCACCACGACCCACACCATCACGACTACTGTCGCCACCACATACTGTTATGGTCCCCGCCACTCCCACAGCCACTACCTATTACCATCATTATCGCCGCCACCACCACGTGCTAGCACATTTTCTAACTACTATCTCATTTATATATTAAGGACTCTATACACACATTAAATTCCGTATTCGACCATTGTTTTCGTAGGTTAATCAAACAAGAAAATTCACAAATTCTAGAAAAAAATTCCGTCATTTCTATTTATGTCATTTTGGAATTCCTTATTAATCTTACATTTCCTCATCCAAATAGAGTAATAAATGCAAATTTTTAGCCTCACAAATTTCATGTTTAATCTTGTATGTTGTTTTGGTTTAATTATTTATTTTGACGATTAGAAATAAAGGATAAGTGTGAATGAAGCTATTGGTGTGTGAAAATTACATCTCTCAATTTATACAATTGTTGATCCTAAAAATTACAAATCCTACATGGCTCACAGGTCGAGTAACTATGAGTTAACTACGTCATGTTTATGAATGTGAGCATGCCCGCAAGAGAGCTCGGTCAGGCGAGTAGAATAGATGTGGTGGTGGTGGTGGTGTTGAATGTGCTATTGACTTCTGCACTTGAGAAACTATGGCCAAGGAAGGAACACCTCTTTGATTGGGGTTCTAAAACCTGAAAGCAAGGTTGCCTAGTTCATTGCAAAGTTTAGGATCTCCTACACCAGCGTTGGTTGCATCAACTATATTTGTGAGAATATAGGCGTGCCGAATCTGTATTCTGTAGGGACACAAGTTCTCAAGGAAGATGAGTGCTCTTATATTGAATGTGGTTTGGTTGTTTAAATGTTAAACTGTAAAATGCACCTGAGAGTAACCAATCATAGAACATTTTACTTTGCTAGGAAGCTAATGAAGTGACCTCTTTGGATGAAAGAATTAATAATTCTTCGCTGGCTGAGACTTGGATAGATATCCAACCAACCAGAAGCAATGTTGTTAATCCAAATTGAAGATGCTCTTAAATTGCTTGATTATCCAGTGTTGTTAATCCAAACTAAAGATGTTGCCAGTTGCCAATGAAGTGCTGCTAATCCAAATGAAAGATTTGTTGACCAGAGGTTTAGGATGGATAGTATTTTTCTTAGAGCGTTTGAGTTATTTGTTAAGTTAAAAAGGGTTTTCACATCGTAGAACATTTCCTATTTATAGGGATAACCTTCATGATAAACAAGTCTGCCATAGTAAAGTCTTGATAAGACTGTGTTTTCTCGGCACTTACTTGGATATTCCCTTATCTCTTTAATTTCCCTCTTAGCCAAGACTTCATCTTCATCCAGTCTCGGCTTTTTTTATCCCAACTATTATTATCTTGACCCCATTATGTGATTAATTCATTCTTATTTGATCAAGAATGGATTCTGATCCTTGGGATAATTCACATCTAATCAGGGTATTATTATGATCCTTGGCAATTTCAATTTGCCTAAAACTCAATTGAACCACATATGATCTTAATCCTCATACAAGACTCGGTCGAATCAATCCTTTCTTGGGCTAAAAGCCCATTGGTTTGAGGATTGTGGCTTTTTAGTTCGGGTTAACCCATTCCCATCCCAAGCTACTATTCATACCCAGACAACAACATATTAGGAAAAGGTGACTCAACCTTGTATGTGTTGTGAGTTATATATTAGTTAAAATGTAAATAGTAGTTTGTTGTCCCACATTGATGAAATGCATATGTAATACCAATTGTAACTCCTATATATACTCCACTTTAGAGATTAATGTATATATATAAGAAATTTCCAAATATTGTCATATATATTTTTGGTATTTACCATGTTTAGTTTAATATGGCATCAGAGTAGTTCGCTCTTGGGGACTTGTGTGCTTTAATTTTGTGCTCACCTTTGTGATGATTTCCTTCGTTGAAAAA